CCCCCCCCAAGGAGCATTCTACAAACCTCCTAAGGGCTATTCATGCCATTTTTCTGGGGAAAAACAAGCCTGTTTTTGTGAAAAACAGACCGTTTTTGGAAGGTTTGCAGAGTGCAAAAACTTTTTTAAAAAATTTTCCTCTTCAGAACCTTGCTGCGTCTTATACTCCGAAAAATATGGTAATCTAACCATTCAAAGGTTTGGCAACTGACTCCTATTTATGACGGTTGCAGCCTCCCGGGGGGTCACGTGACATGATCCCGTTTAGCGACCTGGCGAACGAAGTCAATGGAGAAGCCGGGTTCACTTAACCGCCCTGTTTACTGACTGAACAACTGCAACGATTCACTTAACGACTGTGGCAAGAAAGGTCGTAAGGCGTGGGCAAAATCTCACTTTAGCAATGGGCTTGCTTAGCAATGGAAATTTTGGGCCCCGTTGTTGTAAATCGAGGACTACCTGTATACCACCCAGGACAAAGGGGAGTAGCCATTAAGTGCCACTGGCGTGGGAGATGTTGGGAAATTCTGTGGTTCAGTGCCACGAATTTGGTAGGCAACGAAAAGTTTCTATGGCAAAGGATGGGCAGCCATTGGCCCCCTTGACGACCAGTGGACTTCAATTCCCAGAATTCCTGAGCAAGCATGCCACCTCAGAGTCAGCCTGGCTGGCTGAGGAATTCTGGGAGTTGAAGTCCACAGATCGTAAATGGGCCATTGCTTTTATGGCAGTGATGGATAATCTTTTTGTTGTCGTGTGCCACCTGTGCCATAGGTTTGCCATCATAGCTTTATGGGGTATTTGTAGGAGGAGAGCCTTTAACAAGGGTGGACTGGTACGAGGGCCATGTGGCAGGAGGGGCAGGTAGGTATAGGTGCCAAGTTGGCTCAAAAGGACATCAGGTGAGCCTCGGAGGGAAATTAGCACGTATCTCATTCCAGAGGGCAATCGATTGATCGATTATATTATGCTGGCTCAGGAATTCTGGGAGTTGAAGTCCAGAGGTCATTAAGAAGCCGTCCAGGCCCAGCCCTGCTCTAGAACTGTTCTGACCGAGAGCACGAAGCCAACACTTTGTCCCGACAAAAACCCCTTTTATTAATTCTGTGAATTCTGCTCATTCATATCCAGCAATGCCTTTCAAGGGAGGATTTACAGTCACAGACCTTATCTGGCTTGGAGAGCTGCCAGGCCGAGATCTGCAGAACTTGGCAAGGAGCCTCGGAGAGTCANAAGAAAGAAAGAAAGAAAGAAAGAAAGAAAGAAAGAAAGAAAGAAAGAAAGAAAGAAAGAAAGAAAGAAAGAAAGAGGAAGGCAGGGAGGAAGGGAAGGAAGAAAAAATAATAAAAAAAGAAAAGAGAGAGACATGGCTAGTCAGGTGAAGAGAAGGACCAGGGGAGACAGGATAGCATCTTCCAATATTTGAGGGGCTGCCACAGACAGGAAGGGGTCAGGCTATTCTCCAAAGACCCTGAAGGCCAGATAAGGAATAATAGGTGGCAATTGAACAAGAAGAGATTCAACCTAGAAATAAGGAAGCTGACAGGGAGAGCAATCAACCCATGGAAGAGAAGTTGCCTTCGGAAGTTGTGGGAGCTTCATCCCTGGAGGTTTTTCAGAAGAGACTGGACTGCCACCGATCACAAATGGTGTAGGGCCTCCTGCTTGGGCAGGGGGTTGGACTAGATGACCTACAAGGTCCCTTCCAACTCTGTTAATCTGTACCTGACTACCTGTAGCAACGATAGATGTGACTCTTGGCGGCAATAAATCCTGAGATTTGACAAGCATCCCCTCCCAGAGATCCAACTAAACTTTTCCTTGGCTTTCTCTCTCCCGCTCAAGGTCATCTCCATATTCACCTTGGTGGACGTCGTCCTGAGAGCCGAAAACGGAGCCACGAAGTACAGCGCGGTGCTGAAGAGGCCCGGCAGCCAAGAATGACCAGGCCCGACTTCCGATCACCAATCCTGTCTTATTTGCCCCCCCCAAAAAAACCCCACTAATATCGACAGATATCCCGAACTCGGCTCCCGGGGAAAAGAACCGAGATTTTTAATTTCAATTTTAATTTTGACAAATGTTGTTTCTTGGGTTTACGGGTTTTTTGTTTTGAACGAGAGGGGAGGGCCGAGTCAAGATGGCGGCCGCAGCCCTGCAAGCTTCAAGGCCCACATATTAAAAAAAAACAACAACGGATAGGGCTTCCCTTGCAGACTTTAGCCGCCATCTTGACTTATTTGACCTTCTCGGGGTGGTTACCCTTGGTTTTTACTCAAGCTGGTTGGCGAGACTCGTCCGTTTCCAGCAGGAAGGCATCAATTCTTTGGAAGTGTGAACCAGCCATCTTGCCATCTTCTTAGATGAATTTGGGGTGTGGGGGGTGTATTGAGCGGAGCACCTCCCTTGTTGTATCTGGCCTGCGCGGGGCGCTCCACCTTGGTGTAAAATCACCTCTTACTCAGCCTTGGAGGCTCACGGTCTCCCCGTCTGTGGCTCTCTTCCGTAGCTCCCACATCCGTCGGATAAACGGGACGGGAGAGAAAGTTATGACGTCTGTAATGGAGTTGTGTTGCTCTTTTTCAATTTCCACTCCTCCGTCTCTCGCAAAGCTGCAACTTAAATCGGCTTTGTGTATATGTGTGTGTGCTTTAACAACCTCTTTATTAGGCCACATGAGTTTGGAGAGAGTGAGCAGCAATCTTTGCTCTTCCCCCAGAAATCCTAATAAAGAATAAAACTGGAAAACTACGATGAAATAAATTCCCGGAAATCCTTCTTAAACTCGGCTTTCGTTGTGTTTTCTTTTACGACAAAAATCTACCTTGGACTCTCTTTTCGGGGCCACTGTCTTTGCTTAATGACCGCCGTAAAAGTCGAAATTGGGTGCGGTCTTATGGTGAGCCACTTAAGTGCCAGGCAAGACTTACAAGCCTAACGCCAGGCTCAATTACGGTCGTAAATTGAGGCCTACCAGCATGGCTGTGTGAAACATCTCCTTTAGCAAACCCCAATGAAGTAGAGGGATTCCTCACAACGATTTGTTTAGTGACCGTTCAAAGCTGCAATGGCACTGTAAGTAGACCTTAAGGACTGTTATTCACACTTACGACCATTGCAGCATCCCTGCGAATCACATACCATATTTTTCGGAGTATAAGACGCACCTTTTTCCCCTCAAAAAAGAGGCTGAAAATCTGGGTGAGTCTTATACACTGAATACAGCATTTTTTTGCCACCCGAAACACCGCCCCCTTCACCAAAATGNATAAAAGAGGAGCGAAAGGGGAGTGGAGTTTGCAGGAGACAATTAGTTCGTTTCATTGGTTCGTGACTCTCTGAGGCTCCTTGCCAAATTCTGCAGATCTCAGCCTGGCAGCTCTCCAAGCTAGATAAGGTCTGTGACCGTAAATCCTCCCTGGAAAGACTTTGCTGGATGTGAAGGAGCAGAATTCACAGTCAATGAATAAAAGGGTTTTTTGTCGGGACAAGGAGTTTGCTTCAGGCTCTCGGGAAGCCTCGGTCAGAACACCCACCTGCCTTGTTCCGTGTGCCTTCCTCCCTCCCCTTCTCCGATCACTGTTTGGGGACGCTGCGCCGGTACCAGCTGTGCCTCCATCTGCCCCTCGCAGAAGTCAGAACCGTTGTGTCCTCCCGGTGTGGTCATTATAGCAGAACAGATTCTGCCAAGCCGGCAATTCTGGCCTCCCAATGATCCTACAGGGAGATGTTGGGTTTCATTTCCGCTGTCACTAACAGGACTCAGCGGCGTCTTGTGGGTTTTCGTCTGCGGCAGGCCGTGTCGGTCCCCAGTGATCCGATTAGCAGCGGCCAGAAAGAGCCAGGATGGGACGCTAGACCAAATTCTTTATTTCCCTTTTTTCTTTGGGAGATATCTATAAATACCGGCAGTCAGATACAGATGGATACAGATTTAACAGCGTTGGAAGGGACCTTGTAGGTCATCCAGTCCAACCCCCGGCCCTACCTAGCAGGAGTCCCTACACCCATGATGGCAAACCTATGGCACGCTTGCCACATGTGGCACGCGGAGCCATATTTGCTGGCACGGCGGTTGTCAGCTCCGGGCTGCATGCGCGCGCCAGCCAGCTGATTTTCCGCCCTTCCGGAGGGCCAGGGAAGGCTGTTTCCTCCCACCCCAGGCTTCAGGGAAACCCCCCAGAGGCTGGAGAGGGCACAAAACACCCCCAATGGCCCAACTGGAAGTTTTGGGAACATCCCCCCCAAGCCCTGAGTTTGAACACCCGTGCGTTAGAAGTAACTCAAGGCAGAGAACGCACCACATAGGTCAATGGTGGCTAATCGTTTTTGGCTCCTGTGCCAAAGGTGGAGGGGGGGAGCGCAGGGGGGGTCGTGCGCAGGCGTGCCGCACCCATAATGCTACGCACGCGACCCACCCAACCCCGCGCATGTACGTGTGACCAGCAAACCTCCCCCCTCCCCCACTTTTGGCATTGTGCGTCTTATACTTCAGAGCATCTTACATTCCGAAAAATACAGTACTTATTTATTAAATTTATCCGCCGTCCATCTTACCCCCGGGGGTAATTCTGAGCAGCTTACCATATTAAAAAAACCATATTAAAAAAAAATCAAACCCTATAAATAAAAGGTTACAAAAATAGAAGTGTGCAAAATACAGAATGGGGTGGGAAAGGCCGCCTATACGTAGACGGGGGTGTCTCTCATTTGTGCGTGGGGGGGGGGGATTCCTCACTGCTTGATACCCCTCTGCCTCCTGCCCCTCCCACCCCCTCCCCGTTGACTCCATCTCCCATCCTGCTCCGCCCGCTGACTCCATCTCCCGTTGCCTTGCAGGCTCTGCCGTTGGTGGGGTTCCAGTTCCAAAAAGTGGGGAAAAAGCCACAGTTGTCGCTGGTGTGGGAACCGCAGAGCGCGGAGCAGGACGCCCCGCGGCAGGTAATGTTGGCCCCTCCCTCTCTCCCTCCCTCCCTCCCTCCCCACCTTCGCCCTCCTTCCCACCTGGTTCGTCCTGAGTGAGGCCCTGGTGCCATTCGGTCAAGGACCACTGGCCGAGTTTCTGATGGCGCAATCTCAGTGGCTCTTTGAGTGCTTTAGATTTTTAGATTTTTTAGATTTTATTAACATTTGTAGGCCGCCCTTTTCCCTGAGGGGACTCAGGGCGGCTCACATAAAATCA